ACAGTCCAATGCAATTCGCTAACTGATACGCTTTATATCATCCATGCTGAACTGAAACGGTGGCAAGTGACCTCTCGACAAAAGAGACGCATACGCAAGCACAATCACCCCGCATTGATTTATGTCCTTCTGTTTTGGAATGCCGCTGACCCGCAATTTCTTTTTGAAGCGATTGGTGTCCACTTCCTTTCCCTGTTCTGATGACATGTCCTTCACATACCGCGCCACGTTAGCGACTACCTTTTTGCCTACGTCTATGTCTGTTTCCATCAAGTCGTAATACTCGATTACTCTCCGTCTGAGATCTATCACAACAAGTGTCCAATGCCTCTTATGAATGTTGGGATACGGGGCTAAGATCAAGTCTTTCTTCGCGATCACTGGTTCCTTGAACCACTTACCTATTGTAGCATAGTGACATCCTAACTTTTCATCCATGAGCTTAACCAGAAAAACAAAAGTTGCATATTGTCGTTTTAGGAATCAATTCTCGGGTGCCTGCAGCGGACGTGTTTGGAGGCGTATCGCACTCACGATGTGTAGTTCTACATAGATTGTCTACCCTTATCATGTTCATGTAGAAATTTATAATATCATCTGTTAACCATCGTGTGTCACTCATGAGCACACCGAAGTCCTGGAACGTGAACCTTAACTCCTATTGCGTCCTTGGATTTTTTGTGCTTGATAATATTTGGTAATTGTTGAACTTTGTTTCCAAGTGGCGTAAGGCATCTTCTTCGACCTCGGTCAGAGTATGCGTCGCTAATTGAATAGTCCATCCATGTATACAGCAGCGAACGCCTTCGACATGTGATCTCTGTTCCACTGCACAGGACAATGAAATTGCTTGTTATTAACATGTGATCGCATGAACTCACAAGTTGCACGTACGTAAGGTGAATTTCTATATTTCGTTTGTTCATGACGCATGAGATGATTACGATGAGAGAGAGAGAGAAAGAGAGAGAGAGAGAAAGAGAGAGAGAGAGAGAGAGAGAGAGAGAGAGAGAGAGAGAGAGAGAGAGAGAGAGAGAGAG